AGATCTTTGGTACAAGATGTCAAAATATTTCTGTATCAAAGATCTTGAGCCATGATCTTGGGTACAAGTCATTTTACAGTCAAGATCTTGGATACAAGATAATTTTTAGGATTTTATACGCAAGATCGTGGGCAAGATCTTAGGAACAAAAATATCTTGACATCTTGTACCAAAGATCTTGCCAAGATCTTTTCGAAAAAATCTAAGATGTCAAGATCTTGGTTCCAAGATGTTCGACTAGGGAACGATGCCAGAAAGATCTCATTAATTTCTGAATCACGCATAATAAAAGATCATTCATGATAACAATAAATGACCTACTAAATTACCTAATTTTATTGAATTTGCAGTCAATGATTCCGGTTATCATGGAAATACGACTCGTGATGGTTTTTCTTTTCCACTACAACAGGGTCTGGTGAATCGGGCCGGAAACTATGACAAAACAGTCGGAAAACTAGAATCCGAAACATGTGAATCTTTATTTTCAAAATATCGACGTGCAGTACCTAATTAATTTAAGTCTCTTGCCGATATTCAAGCTCCTTATCGAATAGAGGCGCCAATTCATGGTTTATTTGCTGTCGGTGGAGCTAATGTCGATTATTTCACCGGATATTCTAAATACAATACACAAGAAATTTTGTTGTGCAATGGAAGACTACAAGAGTCGCCTGATATCGGCTCTGCTATTAAGCGTCATGTGTTCGAAAATAAAAGCGATTGGACCAACGCTGCTAATTATAACAAAGCAGCACCTGCTAATTTTTATGCTAAGTTTTGGCATGATCAAAGTATGAATGGTCTTGCCTATGGATTCGTTTATGATGACTTCAATGATCAAGCTTCCTATTTGCAAGTTCATGATCCGAAAGGATTGATCATTCGAATGGGTTGGTGAGCTGGAAATATCTGCGCTTAACCAAAATATGACTGCATTTTGAACTTAATTGTCAAAATACACCAGCAAAAAGTAGTGCGAATCATGCATCATTTGTAAGATAGTATATGATCGTAGAAAATCAGACACGGTATTATGTAATCTTACGATTTCGTACGTAAGAACTCATAGGATCAGATCAGAGCGTGTAATATCGTTCGTACGATTGTTGTGCGAAATGTATAGTCTGGATCCTGTGGCTTTTCAGCGACCACAAATCGGATGTCGGTCATATAGAGCCCGAACATAAACAGTTTTGTCTGGTCCCGTAAGCTCAAGCCAGTCAGCAAATAATGTTGTCTCTATCCAGTTTTCGCGTGAAAAACATTTACGATTTTTTTTCTGTTGAGATAGACCGTATCTGTCAGAAGAGACACTTAAAGTATCAAAATTATTCTTGTTGTGTGATCCGCATGAGAAAAATTAAGCCTAATTTATTTGATTCTAAACTTCAAAGCTGCTGTATAAGAAAGTATTTTACATCTGCTTACTATTTCATAATTGAAAGAAAAGAACTATAAACAGAATTTTAGTTATGAAACATCTTTGATTTGCTAGTGTTACAAGAATTAAACATTTGATGTTATAACATAAAATGTTTAATTCTTCGGAAGAGCTGTAGGCCTTTTTTCTCTCAGAGAAGTAAACATATATTTTTCTATTATATACCACTTTGAAGCCATAAAATTTGCTACAGAGTGGCATATTCGAAATTGGAATATCGGTGGGATCAGTTACTAGAAAATAAACAGACAGAAATAAATCGAGTAGCGAAAATTGTGACATGCTTTCAGTCTGGACTATTTTTTAGTTTTACCCTAATAATGAAACATATATTTTGTGTCATACACTCTTTTAAAACTGGGCGCACTAGTGGAACTTCTTGTACCCAAGATCTTGGGTTAAGAAATGTCACAAGATCTTGGAAAAAACACCAAGAAGTCAAGATCTTGGATTCTTGAATTTTTCACTCAAGATCTTGGCCAAGATCTTGGGT